TGTGTGTGTGTGTGTGTGTGTGTGTGTGTGTGTGAGTGTCTGTGCATAGATACTGTGGAGATACTGAGAGAGAATATCTGTGAGTGTTTAACTGCGGTGTCATCCCATCCCACCCTTGTGACCCACCCCCCATTGGTGGCTAAAATATCTCATAGGGAGCCTGAATGTCGTACCCCGTCATGCTCATGTGGCAGCTCTCCTTTTTTTGGGTGCATTTCGATGTGGGATCATAGGCCTCAACATGCAAGGCATTTCTGCTCCTGGGACACATATCTGTTCCTACTCGACAACGCTGTTTGTGCTAAGCTTCCACGCTGACACTCTAGTGTCACGCAGTACTGATCGCTGGTAGGCTGTGGAAAGTTTCCCACCATGATCACTCCAGAGGTTTCACCTGGAGTCCTCAGGCAGGTTTCTTCAGCCATCATCATCCTCAGTAAGTGCCATACATGCATGACTGATTAAATCATCCAGCAGTTATGGATATCTTTGATCGTCTGAGACTGTTGGAAACATGGAGGGAAGTTAAATATTCACCATTTCCTTTGATAGGAATCGTTTGGTTATGAAGGTAATTGTGCATTGTGTTCCCTTCAGTGGTGAAATGTGTGCACTTTGGTCTAATATTGAGCAACTTCAGCTTTGTTTCAGTGTTTTCACATCCTTGTACTTCTTCTACATTCCATGTTAAACATCCAACACATTCAGTTCAGTTCATTTTCAGATCTTTCTTTTTCTGCCATTTGTTAGATTCCCCACTCTGCTCTTCTCTAAATACCTCCTGAGACTCACAGGTGTGTCCAGTATTTTACATGAAAGGAAATTTCAAAATACAGATTTCCAGCTAATCATTGTCAGAACCCTAGATTTGTCTTTCTTTCCCTTTGAAGGTCTGCTGTGAACCTGCACTAAGTTACCACACTCAAGAAAAAGTTGTTACACATTGACCAGGTACACCAATAAAATGCTACATTTACTTGAGTAGTGTTTTTATTGCAGGGCTTTTAGTTGATCTATCAGCACTTTGTCTTTTAAGCAAACAAAAAGAATTATGGGTACACTCAGTTAAACTGCAGGGATTTCGATCTGTTCAGTTAGGAAGGAAAAAAACCATTGTGAATCCTTTTGGCCTGCTCTGGTGCAAATGAAAGGAGCAACGAAATAGAGTGGTTTAGCCACAGACCAATGCTCTCTCTTTATCCTGCCTCACTGATTTTTCTCTAGTCTTGCTTTTTGTTTGTGACCTTGTCACTGCTGGTAGCATCAGACCTGCAACCCATTTAGGTGGCAGGGGCTTCCTACCAGCCCTCTGCCCCCAGGATGGCTGCTAGGAAGGCTTGCTGTGTCTTCCAGCACAGTCTCGAGATTGTGAAGTAGATCCCATTATATGAGGAGAGCTGGGCAGGGCTGTAGAGTGGACAGCACTGGGTTATGAGCACATTTCCCACTAAAGATGTGGGGGCCTTGTGTCACCCTCATGGAGTCCGATTAGAGCAGTTTGGTGAGAAATCTGCACATAGCCCGATGGAGGTCATTTATTAGGGTTCTGGCAGTGATCCTCCTCTCACAAAGAAGCAGATACAGGTCCTGCTGCTGCGTTGATACCCTTCTCTGGCCTTGTCCAGCTCGCCTTGTGTAACAGACACACTTGAGACTAACCTAGGAGACACAGCAGACCTTCCTGTGACAGCATCCTGAAGCAGGTGGATTATCGGTGCCACATGAATGGGCTGCAGGTACTGTCACGAGGAGTAAAGAGAGAGCAATGGTCTGTGGCTACCACCTGTAAAACATTTCCCTTTTTCGGGGTCTTCTTGTTGCTTTCTCTTCAGTGCACCTGCTGTCAATTTCATTTGCACCAAAAGCAGGTGAATGAATTCACAATGGTTAGCGTTTGCTAACCAAGCATACTGCTTTGACTGACCTTCTGTCATATTGTGATAATCAAGTGTTCTCTTAACCTTTTTTACTGAGCAATGCATTTAAGGAGCTATTTTACATCACTGGTTGTAGTGATGGTTGTAGCTTACCGGCCAGACGGCTGACGATCTGTCCAGACACTCACAGTCTGTGATTACAAGCAGTAAAAGTATCATACATTTGCACTGTCAGCCATAATGAGGCTATGAAGTCTACCTGAGTTGTTGCACACATCGGGAAAGGAGAAGCAGAATCTCATTACACTCTGTGATGAATTCATGGTAGTTTCTACTTGAGTAAATGAGGCAGGTTATCTAAACTGACAGCTTAGTGGAAAGTACAAATCAGAATCATATTTACATAATACTTAAAGTAATTTATTTGTGATGGTGATAGAAAGCATTGTGTATCCATCTGTCTGTTTTTGTCACCTCGTGCCTACGTCTATGGTAGCTGTTGTTTGTAGTGTGTGTGTGTGTGTGTGTGTGTGTGTGTGTGTGTGTGTGTGTGTGTGTGTGTGTGTGTGTGTGTGTTAATGGAAGGGAGGGGGAGGAAGAGCTGCTTCTTTGTTTTTATCATCACATCTAATGTACACACAGTCAGTGGGCTCCTTAGTTCCAGTAAAATGTCTACAAGCATGATCAGGTCCCCTCCTCCCCCGGGGCTCCATGTTCTTCCTTTGCCCTCACCATGACAACAGGAAGAAGCATATACGATGCTTCGTGTCAACAGCAGAAATACAAACAAACCCACATTTATACATATTCATGGACACACAAACAGCACAGCGCAGGCTGACGAGTGTCTCGTTAACATCTGCGACGTTACTATTTGTTGAAGGGTTGTGAAGTCTTGATATTGTGTTAACTGGCTCGTGTTTCACGATTGAGTCCCTGAAGTATCACTTTAAAAGTAATACATGCTGTAGATGTTAGCATGTGCATGAAGGAAAGTTAATAATTACCACAAGATAACGAGCTGAATTTATGGGAGCGTCAAAGACACGTTCAAGTCTTCTGTCGCTTCTGTCTTCTGTGCGTATGGTTGAAGCTAAAGAGCCGTTAAAAGAATCGAAAACCAAACCGTTTTCAATTTGTCAGCATGAATTGTAGCTTGTGGTAACTGACAAGTGAGCCCTAGATTTAAATTTCTTTCTCGGCATTGCGCCCGAGTATTCTCACTGTACCGGTTCGACAGGTACACCTGTTCAGCTGCTCGTTAAAGCAGAAATTTAGTCAGCATTATGTCATGCAGGAGAAGGATGTTGAAAAGAGAAAATATTGAGTGAGCAGCAGTGTTGTTGCCAGAGGTCAGAGGAAAATGGCTAGACTGCTTTGACCTATTAAGAAGGCGACAGTAACTCAAATAACCACTTGTTACAACCAAAGTATGCAGAAGATTCTGAATGCACAACACCTCGAAGCAGGCAGGCTACAGCAGCCCACTCCCATCAGCTAAGAGCAGAAAAGTGAGGCTACAATTTGTACGTGTTTTCCACTGCACAACAGAAGGAAAACTGTCGTCTGGTCTGATAAGTCTTGATATCTGTTGGAGGATTCGGATGGTGTGGTCAGAATTTGAGTAAACAACATGAAAACGTGGCTTCATCCTGCCTCGTAATAATGGTTCAGGCTGCTGCTGCTGATGTAACGGCGTGGGGGAAATGATCCAGACTGAGCGTCTCAAGCTGCGACTGTGCCCAGTGTTGACCGCCCCCATCACCCCGCCTGCTGCCCCACATCCTCCAGACGCAGCGAACGGAAATACCACCCGTCGGTGATCTTGATGTCACGGTGGGCGTTGAAGTTTAATGACTGGTATTCTGGTGATATGTGATAAGCGCTCCCCCCGTTAATAGCTGCTCCAGAATGAGGTGCTGACTCCTTCGCTCTGTCTGTAGTTGGTCAACAAGCAAAAGTGCTAAACTGAGATGATCATGTGGCTGATGTTGATTATCCAAAACCAGCTACTAACAAGAGAGATTAGATGTATTTTACTAAATGAATTTTGCTGTTTTGCACCATATGCAGTATTTTTTAGATTTTTCTGTCGGGTTTCTGTTCGTTCCACTTGTTTCAGTTCTTTTCTCTCGTGTTTCACAGTTGAAATTTCTGTAGCTGGCAACTTGTTCAGCAATTATAAACAGCTTGCAGGCCTCCAGGGCAGTGCCTCACATGATGCTGTTGCTATCTGTTTATTCAGCTTCTCTCCCTGAGCACACTACTTAACTGTTTTCTGTCATTTGAGTCCTTTTTTATGTGGTTTGTCTCAATATGGAAAAAAACTCCCTGTTGAACTGAGAAATGTTGAACATTTTTGAAGCTGTCTTTGCTTTTTTTTCTGTCGGTGCGGTCACAAACGAGTGTTTGGTATGTGGTGCTATAAGGGGTGATATTCAGCACAAAGGGGAAAGTGTTGGAGATGAATAAAACAGTAATAAGGGCTTACGTGTACACGCATAGAAGCTGATTATTTCTGTGGTTTAATTGCTTTTTTCCCCTCTTATTTTGTGTCTTTTAGGCCCAGTCGTGCAGCGCCAAAATGGGCCCTCCTCGGACGAAAACGAAGCACAGAGGAGGTAAACTTTTACAATGAGAGCATGAGCAGAAATAGTGTAAAACATGTAAAGCTAGTGGAAGACTTTACAAAACAGTAAGCTAGTCTGTAGATCCAAACTCGCTAGTTAATGTTAAATGTGTAAGTATCAAATGGGACCTATTATGCTTTTTCTTATTTTCTGTCATATTTTTATACCGTTACAGTGGTGCATGCTCATTTTTGAGCCAATGAAAATAGTCCAGTCAGCATGCACAGGTAATCCCTTTGGGCCTGCGAGGCTTTAGAGACCTGTAGACACTCTTTGATATGAATGATGTCACTAACAGCAAACATGTCAGGCATTGGCTGTAAATACAGAAGCGATCCATCGTATTTTACAACCTCCTGTTTGCGAGGGTTAACCAATCAGGAGAAAGTTGGTTTCAAGGATGAGGGATGGGAGCTAAAGCTAGGTTAGGATGCCTTCTGGGCACCTGCTGGGCGAGGTGTTCTGGCCATGTCCTAACAAGAAGAAGGACCTGGGATAGACTCAGGACACGGTGGAGGTATTATGTTTCTTGGCTGGCCTGGGAACCCCTCTGTGTTGCCACGGATACGCTGGTAGCACTGGCTGGGCTAGACGGAGGTCTGGGCTCTTCTATTTAGGCTGCTGCCCCGCATCCTGGCCACAGATAAGATGTAGAAAATGGATAGGGGTTGACAAACGCCTAGTCTAGGACGAACAATGGAAAATTTTGAATCATGACGAGTTTCTATAGCAGAGTGTAAGGATATAAATGGAGGTAGCTTCCAGTTCAAGAAAATAAAATCAATGTGGAAGTGTCTTAAACCTGCATTCTAACTGAAGGCCACCAGATGGCGATAGCTGTGGTTGCAAGAAGATTTGCGCTCCACTATAAGTCTATGGGAGAATAGTTTTCTGACTTGACCTCAGTAAACACTTTCCTGTTGAGTTTATGGGCTTAGTCAGTCATTGTGGGTCATATTGAATAAAAACTGAAATTTGTTTTCTAAATCTTTGTCATGATAGGTTTCAAAACGGAGGATTATCTTATTAACAACTGGTTAGCTAATGAGCCAACTGTTTACAATGAGACCTTTAGAAATGATTGGATGATGTCACGGTAGATGCGTCTGCTTGTTATACCATCTGTGATTTTAAATTAGCATAACAGGTCCCCTTTAAAACGATCAGTAGTGTTTTTAACAGAGACACAGTCAAAGCTACACATTAGGCTGATTTATCGCCACAAACTGCAGCTTTAAAGAGCCGTGAAATCCTTGCACTTGATAGGATGATGGAGCAACATCAGATGCACAAGGAGAGGGAGCGACGGACGTCAGGATCAGGTGAGGTTTAGACAAACACACCCACACCCTCATATATAAACATGCACTCTTTCTGACACTCGCGCTCACACTCACACACTAACAGGAAGCTCTAGAGACCAAAATGAATGGAAGGGTTTGTATTCGCCTAGCTACACAAACATTTTAGACAAAAAAAAAGTCTACTCTGGCTGTCAGTAAACAAACTGTTTGCCCCGCTTTTTGCGTTTTTGTTTTTTTTGTTTTTTTCCATTACATGATGGACGTTATCGCCATTTAGTCAGGCAAAGCACACTTTACTTTCCCAGAGCAAACAAGTGATTTCATCATTAATACATAGCAGAGATTCCATGCTAGCAGGTCCTAGAGGTAAATAGGCTTCCCCAGTGTGGTTTGTGTTAGTGTTTCCCCCCTTAGTTTCAACCACGACTCCCCAGTCTGTATGCCCTTATGCTTTTTTGAACCCATGCACACATATAAATGTTCAAGTCTGCCTGTTAAATATCCATACAGACTTAAACATCTTCCTTTTGTCCCTGCCGCCACCGGCAATATCAGTGCTCCCCTGCCCCTGCAACATGCTCTACTGCCATCTCTTTCTTCCAGCTACTGTTGGGGAGGGGGAAATGCCATATGCTTTCCGATCATGGCTCAGTCATGTTGCATTCTGCTGCTTGTTCTTTTTACAATATTTTGATTCTTTCTTATTTGCTATTGGCTTCTGTTTTTTGGACTGCTCCTGATTTTCTCATCATTACTTGCTTGGTTGCTCAGTTGGTTGCTTTTCATTCTTCTCACGTTTATCTCTTTTCTGTTTTCCTTTGTTTGTTGCCCTCCTTCGTCTGCATCTCCTCCTCTTCCTCCTCCTCCTCTCTCTCTCTCCTCTCTCTGTCTTTCTCTCTCTGCCCGTCACAGTCGTTTCCACTCTCCAATATAAAGTGTCCACCCCTCCCATCCACCCAGACACTCCTCCCGAGTACAGACATTACAGAGCTAGCACACTGCCACCCTCCTACGTCCGCGTGGCATCCTCCTCTCCTCCCACCTCCGCCTCCATGTCTCCCTCTCAGGAGAAGGAGGCGGGAGCCGCTAGGGACAAGGCCCAGCTCTCCTCCCAGCTCTCCACCTCGCTCGCATCAGCCTTTTCCCCAGTCCAGGCAGGAGTGACCACCCAGGGCCGACAGGTCCGTCAGATCCCCCTATCTCCACCCACCGCAGCCCGCCACCTTCACCTTCAACAGCAACAACAGCAACAAGACACCATGCTGCCCCCTAAACACGGCACCTGGTCTGCTTCACACTTGCAGCAAATGTACGCCCAGTTTCCCCAGTCCTCATCCCCCCCAGTAATGATGGCCATGCCGGTGAAGCAGGGTTTGCCCCCGCAGCCGGTCCTCCCGGTGGCTCACCCCCTCCCACCTGTAAGCACTAGGATGAAGCCCCCACCTTTCGATCCCAACACCGTTACAACCCCTCACCAATACCCTCAGCACCACCCACACCCTCACTCCAACGGCCAGCCAGACGATTCCTACTCCCCTCATTCTCAGCACCTGCCACTCACACCACAGTACTGCGAGGCCATCCCACTGCCCCCTCTTACAAGTCAGACACCCCCAGGCCCTCCCCCCAGCCACCAGCCCCAGTACCCATCCACTTTCCACCCACAGCAGCAGCAACAACAACAGCATCAGCAGCAGCAGGTGTACCACCAGCAGGCCCAGCCCCCTACCACCACCACCACCTCTTCCTCCTCCTCCTCGCCCCCCTCTTACACTGCCATGTCTGACGGGGGCTCGCCCAAGAAGACCCCCTCCCCTGTCCCCCAGCCAACCCCCATGACCAGCAGCAGTAAGTATGAGGAGGAGAGCGGAGGAGGTAGTCCCTCAGCAGAGGGACATGTTTACATAGTGTGTGTAAATAGTGTATGTGTATGTGTGTGTGTAGAATAGGTTGTTAAATGCACCACACCTGCACTGTTAGACAAGAACATGAAAAATATATGTGTGGTATCAGCAGTTAAAGCCCAAACACACCCAAAGGTCCACCCACAGTTTTCTCACAGGGTGTCATCAGACTACTTCTCAGGATTGCTAGGGTGTGAACGTAGTCTGCTTAATCTGTGTAAAGCTGTCCCACTTACAGGGCGAGACGTGCAGTACTGTCCAGTCGTTTTAGGCACTAAAAGTAAAGAGAAGATATTTTAATATGACACGGATTCATCCTATTAGAAAACAAAACAAAACGTCACCTTCTGCCTTTAAAACAACCAAGTTCTCCTTTCGCACTCTCACACATTTTCACTGTGCTTGGCAGGAATGTTTTCAAATCTTGCATAACTCTCCGCACTCCTTCTGCCATTATAAGCTCTCTCGGTTGCTTCAACCTTTTTATTCCCGACTGACAGCGATCCGCTCCACAGTATGTTTAGGATTGATGTCATTCTAACCGAACAAATTCCCTGTTGGTATCTTATGATTGATATAAGTCTAAACTGCCTAAAACCTTTGCACAGTGCTGCTCACAATGAGTCATGTGTTATTAGTGCTATTGGTTTTATGACAGTGTAATTCCCAGGAGAACTTCAACCAACTTCCGTCTCACCAGGTATATAATCAAGCAGAAATGTAATATACTTGTGTAGGTGTGCAGAGCCTTTAAGACAAACATTTACGCGCCTCTTTTTATAAATATACATATTTCCGTCAATGTAGCTCAATGCAGCAGAACAATAGGCCTTTGCTGCTGACAATTTCTTCAAGATTCCCAGCAAATCATGCTTCACACAGTTACAGCGCACAACCCTAAAATTGAAGAAACACAGGAATTCAGGATTGTATTGACAAGTCAGTGGACCTGAAGTCGTTCCTGCTGTGCAGGTTTTTCACTTTGCCTGACTTGACTATCTGCCGTTATCAAACAAAATACATTTGAAGCTACTGTCAGATCTTTGGTTTTATTCCTGGTCCTGGAATTATTCAAAGCCTGTAGGAAAATTTTAAGCATACCTCTATCATCAGCTGGCTTTCACATAACCTTCCCACAAAATAAATATATATGTATATATATATAGATAGATAGATAGATAGATAGATAGATAGATAGATAGATAGATAGATAGATAGATAGATAGATATAGAGAGATAGATAGATAGATATAGAGAGATAGAGAGATAGATATAGAGAGATAGAGATATAGATAGATAGATAGATAGATAGATAGATAGATAGATAGATAGATAGATAGATAGATAGATAGATAGATA